GATAGATAGATAGATAGATAGATAGATAGATAGATAGATAGATAGATAGATAGATAGATAGATAGATAGATAGATAGATAGATAGATGGATGATAGACCGACAGACAGATAGACATATAGACAGACAGATAGATTCTTTATTCAAGTCAAAAGCAGCTTTTTATTTTTTAGTATCTGCGTCCTCTGTGAGGAGAGAAAGGTCACAGTGATAGCATGGACATGCTGAGCTGATCTCCAAACACACAAACACACTACCTTTGAACTGTCAGACTAGCTTTACTATCTGCACATCAAACTCCTCTTTCTCTTTATCACCGAGTCACAGTATCAAGATTCCCCACTGAATCCAAAACAATAGAGTCAGAAAACGCCAGAGAAACACATTTTCAAGATAAAATCCTACCTTTCTCTGACTGCTAAATACTAACATCTTATTTAGCATCTCATCACATTAATCATACATGAAAAACATGTAGAAGACATCTGCAACCAAAGGAACAAGATCCAAAGCATGTTGTCCGACTTGTTTTTGTCTAAAGCCCAAAATATACTTTGGTTTTTATGCGCAAGTGAGGGTCCGTGTACTTTACACCGAGTTTTGTTACCCACATTCTTTGTACACGCATGTCGCACATGTGCACTGAATTTGTTTTGCACTAATAAGTTGTTCCTCAAGGTGGCAGCACTTTTTTGGTCAGTTGCAAACTGCAACGTGGACCAGACTTTATGCTGACAGTACAAATACTTTTACTGTTCCAGTTGGTGATTACTTAGTTTACTAGGATTAAAATGAAATTAAATCAAGCGTTTATACGTATAAAACTGATGTTATATAACTAACCCCATGAAATAGGGATGGGAAGATTCCCCGATTCGCTCGGTGCATCGGCATAAAAAGTTAACGATGCGATGCATCCATTTAAAAAGTGTGCATCGGCTACAAGTTGTCATTTATATTGCAATGCATCGTTTCTAATATATTTGCATCTGTAAAAACTGATTTATTTATATATAATTACTAGTGGATGTGCTATACTTTTATTATTTAGAAAGTTACCAATAATCTGTGACCAATGTTTTATATGCAGATTGATTTCTCCTCTCTAAACTGTTTCTCAAGTGGGTTCTCTCTTACCGTTAACCGATTGCCGGCGTCGACCTCGATCATTCCTCGCAGAAGGTTCTGGCAGTCCGGTGGGATAAAATGGGGCATGTGAAAAACACCCAGCTTGACTTTTTCTAACAAGTTTCTTAAATTGTCATCGTCAAACGGCAGAGCCCCCTAAACGAAAGACACAGACAACAAAAAGAAAATGCATCAGTCTGAGGAAAAATTCTGAGTAAATAAGGCTGGAGAAGAAGAACAAATTAGAAGAAAAGGGCTCAGAGGATTGACCCATAAATGCAAAGTTTTCATTAATTAACTCTTATATAAGGGGTCTGTCGGTACTGCTGACATGCTACAGCTGAGGGTGATGAGGTTTCATTTTCATTTCTGATGAAAAACAAAACAGAGGAATAACAAAAAACAAAAGAGACAGGACGAGAGCATAAATGCACTCCAATCATTTTGGATCTGAGAGGATTTTGTGCATTCAGCATTGAGTCTGTCAGAAGTCAATTTTATTTTTGGTTTTGGTGCTGTCTGCCTTTCCACAGCAGGTCCATGTATATTTCATAAAGGGACAATCGAATGAACTTCAGCAGAGAAGAGAAGAGAAGAGAAGAGAAGAGAAGAGAAGAGAAGAGAAGAGAAGAGAAGAGAAGAGAAGAGAAGAGAAGAGAAGAGAAGAGAAGAGAAGAGAAACAAACATGAGATGAGACAAAAGACACATTGAGATATGAAGACACTGAGAGATGAGACAAAAAGAAATGCAATGAGATGAGGCCAAAAAAAAACAGAAGAGACAAAATGAGATGAGATGAAAGAAGACAAGCCAAAAGAAATGTAATGAGACAAAATAAGAGACAAAAATGAGACGAGACAAGGAAAAAATTAGAAAATGAGAAGCAATGAGATGAGAGAGGAAAATAGAAGAGATTAAACAATATGGAACAAGACCAAACAGACGACAAAACGAGATGTAATGAGATGAGGCAAAATAAGAGCCAACAATGAGATGAGTTAAGGTGACACAAAACGAGATAGAATTAGATGAGACTAGAGAGGAAAACAGAAGAGACAAGACAATATGACACAAGACCAAATGATACAAGACACAATAGGTAAAATAAAAGTAGAGAATACACAAAAATTAGACGAGGTGACATTACAATAAATTAGACTAGATTAGATGAGACAATACGAAAAAAGTGCAGAGACAAAATGAGACAAGATGAGATGCAATATGATGAGACAAAACGAATGAAGAGAATAGACAAACTGAGATAAGGAGAGGTGACACGAGATGAGACAAAAATTTAATGAGAGAGGAAAACAGAAGAGACAAAACAATATGACACAAGACTAAACAAAAGAAGACTAAATAAAAAAAAGAGACAAAATGAGACAGGAAGAAACAAGATGACAAGAGTTGAGATAAAATTAAATGCAGATGAGATGAGACAGAAACTAAAAGAAAAAAATATTTGAAATGAGAAAAAAGGAAAAAAAGAGCAGAGACAAAATAAGACAAGATGAGGTGAAATAAGAAAAGACAAAAAGAGCTGAGACAAAATCAAAGAAGAGAATAGATAAAAATGAGACAAGGTAAGGTGACATGAGATGAGACAAAATGAGATTAGATGAGAGAAGAAAACGGAAGAAAAGAGAAAAAACAACATGGGACATGATCAAAATGAAATGGAATAAGACGTGACAAAATTAAAGAAGACAATAGAAAATGCAAGCTGACGTGTGAAGATATGAGATGAAAGAGGAAAACAGAAGAGACAAAACAACATGAGACGAGACCAAACGAAATGAGACCAAATTAAATAAAATGAGACAGTGAAAAAAGCACAAGAATGAGACGAGACGAGGTGATGTGAGATGGAAAATAAGATGCAATGAGATGAGAAAAGAAAACAGAAGAGACAAAACAATGAACGAGACCAAACAAAACAAGACATATTGAGATGCAATATGATGAGACAAAATAAGAGACAAAATGAGACGAGATAAGGAGACGTGAGATGAGAGAAAATGAGATGGAATGAGATTAAATGAAATTAGAGAGGACAACAGAAGAGACAAGACAATATGACACAAGACCCAATAGGCAAAATAAAAGTAGAGACAAGGTGACATGAGATGAAAACATAAGAGACAAAACCAAATGGCAAGACCAAGAACAAGACGAGATTACATGATCCCTACAAAACTAATTGAGATGAAATAAGACGAGACAAAAAGACAAAAGAGGAGATAAGAGAAGAGACAAGATGAGGTGATGCAAGAAAAGAAAAGCAATGTTGAGCTGAAGTTCCTGAGTGGTTGTTTGAATGCAATGTGCAGCTCTGGTCTGTTCTGAAGTCACAGAAGCTCTCTGAATGATCTCTGAAGAAATGACTCGTTCATCATTGTTTCTAGAACGTCAAAAACAATCCAGCTCGGCTTTAAAATGCAGGCCAGTGGCTCTGTGTGGAGAGATAAACCTCTCAGACTCAAGGGTCTCAATTTTACTCTCAAAATTGAACAAGAGCATTTCAAATGAGCTGGAACTCTCGGGGATACTGCTGCGGTTCAGACGCGCAGGTAAAACATTTCGAATAAAATCAGCTAATAATGCAGTGCAGAGGTGTGTCCCATACTTGCTCCAAATTGTATCGTCTTTGGGACTTAGAAACATCAATTCCCAGCCTTCAATTCAAATATGCGTGTTCATTTCCACAAAATACCATTTCTGATGAAAAAGGATGGCTGATAACATTCTGAAAACTTGAGTTTAACTTTAATATCCATCACACTGTCAAAACAAGCAACATGATACAATGTGTTTGAATGTTGTTTGTGTCTTTCTACACAATTTAAGCAAACTGAAGAGAAGATATTTGCCATAATCAAGATATAGTTCACACAAAAATGAAAATTCTGTCAAACCTCCATGACTTTCCTTTACCAAAAGGAGATATTTGGTTGTCATGTTCATGCTGCTCTTTTCCAAACACTAAAACACTTTTTTTTAATATATATATATATATATATATATATTTAATGTTTCACTGAATAAATGTAGTCATATGAGTTTAGAACATCAAGAAGGTGAGTAATTGTTGGCAGAAATGTTATATTTGGGTGAACTATTCCTGTAAGGTAAAGTCTGGAGTGACTCACCACCAACAGAGCAAAAAGAATGACCCCACAGCTCCAAACGTCTGCTTTCCTTCCGTCATACTTCTCTCCCTAACAGAGACAAGACAAAGTCAAAATGCAATCCTTCTGATTCCAGATCAGGTCACACATTCAGAGTTGTCTTTTGTTTTACTTCCACAAAGCAGAAAGACTGACAGTCAGGCAACACTCACCCGGATGACTTCAGGACACGCGTAATGAGGAGATCTGTGAAAAGACAACATCAGCTTGAGTTACCCACAGTACTCACTGCTATTCATCTCTCAATATGTTTGTCTTATTTTAATTATTTTAAATTTGTAACCCCGCCCCCCTCCCTCAGGTTTTTATCCTTCATTAAACAGCATTTGCTGCCAAGTACAGTAAAATGTTTAAAGAAAGACATTTTACAGTAAAAGTGCAATTTTACAATAAAAATTAAATATTATAATTGTTTTCCATACAAAATGTCTCAATATATAGTGATTTTTTTATTATAAATAAATAATATAAAATAAAATTGTATAAAACATTTACATTTAATTACATGTAATCAATATTTATCATGTGAGAATACTTTTTATTTATTTTATTTCTTTGCAGCACTGTAACAACACATTACCATATAATTGTAATAAAATATTTTTAAAAAGCATCTCGGGGACTCATATTTTGAACAGATTCGCAGAAAACAAACTATTTAAAAGTACTGATCTGCAGTACAAAAATACAGGGGGGACCGTATATAAAATGGCTGTAATTCCTAAGTATTTTATCTTATATTTTTGTTCAATCTCTTGAATTAAAGCTTAAAATCTGCACTTCAATTTCATCTTGTTTGTTTTATTTTAATTCTATTCTGGTGGCATACAGAGCCACCCGAAATTATGTAAATTGTGTCATTGTACAAATATATATGGACCTAACTACAGACAGACAGACAGATAGACAGACAGACAGATAGACAGATAGATAGAACAACAGACAGACAGACAGACAGACAGACAGACAGACAGACAGACAGACAGAAATTGTGAGAATTTTAGAAAAATGTCAGAATTTTGATTTTAAAATAAATATATAAAATTACAATTGTGAGATAAAAAGTTGTAATTACTTTATTTATTTTTTTATCCCGTGGCACAAATAATTTTGAGTTTGCAGAAATATTATTATTATTATAAGCTTTCATATTTATGGACAACTCTGAGAGAAAAAGTAGAATGGTGTAATAATTCTATCTCAGATAGAGTTGCCAAAGCACATGGCATCTTCCAGAATACTCTACAAATATGCATCACAAAAGTGTTTTTCATAATTCATAAGTCGGTTCTCGGACTGGTGAATTTATTGATTCTAACATGCATCTGCCATTATGCGTTTAATAATAAAACATTGCTGAATCTGTTCAGTGAACGTCAAACTCTCAAAAGACTCAAACTCAAAAATCATTGCCCTCAACACATTAGCCTCGACGGGACTTTTGCTTATTACGACTCTGATGCGCAACGCTCGCAGCATTTCAGTGTTTTCCTCCGCAGCAGGTGCGTTAAATCGAAGGGATCAAAACGAATCGGATGTTTTCATTGTTTATGTTGATGAGGAAGGCAAGTTAGAGATAAAAATACAGCCATTAAGGGATGAGTTTATGGAGGACCCCTGCAGAGCGTGGTGCCAGATCATTTATCTACTCCAAGCTGTTTGCTAAAGCTCATTTCCTCGCTCATTTCTGCAAAACTCGTCAACCAATGACAGGCAGATATGAGATGACTCATTACTGATGTGGGTGTGTGAACTATCAGACATATGAGTTCAAACGTCTCTTTTTGGTACGATGTACAATGATCATTAAGCCAAAACAGTGCGTGGTAATAGGGACATGACAATAAACACCATAAACTCCAGCGGAAGGCCTCCATGAAGCTCTGAATCAATAAAGCCTGTATTATTTCGAGAGTGTAGGTCAGACTCTGAGCCAAAGTGGGGCTGTTTCAGGTTTTGTCGTTACACAGTCACTCTGTCAAACCCTGAGTGTATCTACATGACCATTTGCATAAAAAGGTGTTAATTTATTAATTTTATATAAATTAATATACAAATGAATTAATGAATAAATGTTTTTTTTAAAGAATCAGTGATTAAATAAATATCAAATCATAAATATCAAATATTTTTAAATGAATGAACAAATTAATACATTTATAAAAAATTAATTGGTTTTCTTTTCAGAATTTTGGTATTGGAATTTAAATGGATGAAAGAATTAATGAATACACTTTCTAAATGAATTAATTAATAAACAAATAAATTGAATGACCTTTTTTAAAATATGAATGAATGAATGAATGTTTTTAAAAGAATGAATTTAAAAAATGAATAAAACATTTTTAAATTAATGAATGGACAAATTAATTAATAAATAAATGGATAAAAAAAGCTTTATGAGTTTTTAATTGCATGGATGAATGAATGAACAAATAAATGAATGAATGAATGAACGAACGAACGAACGAACGAATGAATGAACAAACGAACAAACGAATGAACAAACAAAGAAACGAACGATTGAACGAACTAATGAACAAATGAATGAATGAATGAACAAAGAAACGAACGATTGAACGAACGAACTAATGAACAAATGAATGAATGAATGAATGAACGAACAAACGAATGAATGAACGAACTAATGAACAAATGAACGAATGAACGAATGAACAAATGAATGAACGAACAAACGAACGAATGAACGAACGAACTAATGAACAAATGAATGAATGAATGAATGAACGAACAAACGAATGAATGAACGAACTAATGAACAAATGAATGAATGAATGAATGAACAAACGAACGAACGAACAAACGAACGAATTAATGAATGAACTAATGAACAAATGAATGAATGAATGAATGAACGAACAAACGAATGAACAAACAAGCGAACGAACGATTGAACGAACTAATGAACAAATGAATGAATGAATGAATGAACAAAGAAACGAACGATTGAACGAACGAACTAATGAACAAATGAATGAATGAATGAACGAACAAACGAATGAATGAGCGAACTAATGAACAAATGATTGAATGAATGAATGAACAAACGAACAAACGAACGAATTAATGAATGAACTAATGAACAAATGAATGAATGAATGAATGAACGAACAACCGAACGAACAAACAAACGAACGAATGAACGAACGAACTAATGAACAAATGAATGAATGAATGAATGAACGAACAAATGAACGAACGAATGAATGAACGAACTAACTAATGAACAAATGAATGAATGAATGAATGAATGAACGAACAAATGAATGAACGAACTAACTAATGAACAAATGAATGAATGAATGAACGAACAAACGAATGAACAAACAAACGAATGAATGAACGAACTAAAGAACAAATTAATGAATGATTGAATGAACGAACAACCGAACGAACAAACAAACAAACGAACGAATGAATGAACTAATGAACAAATGAATGAATGAATGAATGAATGAATGTCTGGTTTAAATTTTCTGCTTTTGCATTTGCATTGTATGGTCTGGAAACTGAAGTGTGAAGCGTTACAATTTCTATCACTAGGACTGGCAGATACCAATCTGACTGCCCAAATTTACCTCATTTACAAGCAATAATCTAAACGAATGAATGAGCGAAGGAACAAACAAACGAACGAATGAACTAATGAACAAATGAATGAATGAATGAATGAATGAATGAACGAACAAACGAACGAACAAACGAACGAACGAACGAATGAACAAATGACTGAATGAACGAAGAAAGGAAGAAAGGAACGAACGAACGAATGAATGAATGAATGAATGAATGAATGAATGAA